CTTACATATATCGTACAAGCGTGTTTATGTCTCCCTTGGGTGAACAGGTCAGGCATATGTTTGACGAAATAGATTACGTTCGAGAGGCAAAAAATGCAGAACGATTTGCTTCGCTTTACTCTTTTGATTCAGGTAGGTTCTCTTGTTGCAAATTTTGCATCCTCTTCTCAAATACTATTGTCAGGTCCATTATATCTTTGAATATTGACAGGGAGTGATCAGGTTAATGATAACGCTGCACCTAGGAATATGTCCAAGAATCATAGAGCAGAGAACATTAAAGTCCCTAAAATATACTGGAATTTTACACGGACCGCGGTTCTCACAATGGAATGGGTCGATGGCATAAAACTAACAGATGAAATTAAGCTGAGAAGGGCTTCTCTTGACAGAAGGGACTTGATCGATCAGGTAACTAAATAACTGATACCTAATTAATCTAGGTTAGTGTCTTCGCATAGTGGCAAATTAATCTGTTGATATAACTTAGTGGCTCTTAGTACTGCTAGGTTCTCGTAAAATGTTCCACTGAGAACCTTTAATTGGTTTGTTTTCAGGGATTATCCTGTTCATTAAAGCAACTGCTTGAGGTTGGATTCTTTCATGCTGATCCACACCCAGGAAATCTTGTGGCTACTAAAGAAGGGTCTTTAGTTTATTTCGACTTTGGGATGATGGGGAATATCCCACGTCATTACCGTGTGGGACTTATTCAAATTGTAAGCTCCACTTCAGCTATGTCTTGCCTTTTTCTGTATTATTATTAGCTTGCGGTCTTTCTAGCTTCTCTTCTCGAATTACTTATAAAATCTATTACATGCAGCTTCTTGCAGATGACCAAATAATAAATTTCCTATCTGAAATTTCGTTTTTGTTATCGATTTTGATTAGTTCTATTGCGATTACAGCTGGTGCATTTTGTCAACCGTGACTCTCTAAGTTTGGCAAATGATTTTCTTTCCTTGGGATTCTTACCTGAAGGGGTCGATATACAAGCAGTTTCAAATGCTTTGCGTTCTTCGTTTGGTTCTAGTACAAGAATTTCACAAGATTTCCAGGTATGCTGACTTACTGATAACTGATACCATTGACAGAATATATCAACGTGATGATTACTTTGTCCTCTCACAACACTGACATCTGCCATAATCCTTACCTTTTTTGTTTTGCACAGGGAGTGATGGAACAACTATATGATGTTATGTACGAGTTCAATTTCTCGCTGCCTCCAGATTATGCTCTTGTGATAAGATCCCTTGGCTCACTAGAAGGCACTGCAAAGGTTCTTGATCCAGAGTTTAAAGTGATAGAGAGCGCATATCCATTTGTTATCGGGAGGCTATTAGCAGATCCAAGCCCAGATATGAGGAAAATACTAAGGGAACTTGTCATTTGTAACGATGGATCAATTAGGTGGAATCGGCTTGAACGCCTGGTACCTTCATCCAACTTTTCCGTTGTGAAATTGAGTAATCTGAAGAATGAGCAAAACCAACAATTTACTCTCTATTTCAGGTAGCAGCGATATCAGAACAGGCTTCTGTGACATCTGGAGATTCTCCAGAAGACAAAACGTTGAAGAAATCATCAGAGCTGAAATCATTCGACATGCATTCAGTAGTTTCAGCGACAGAAGATCTGCTATTGTTCATATTATCAGAGAAAGGGCAGAGAGTCCGGATCTTCCTTCTTCAGGACATAATCAGAGTGGTCGATATTTTCCTGGAAGAAGAGGTTATTGATCTCGACACAAAGAAGAAGCAGACCATCAATCTCAGGGTCAGTTAAATCACCTCAAAACCTTATTTTACTGTAACCGAAGTCTCATTTTACTCTCTATATTTCTCAGGAAGAAGGGACGATGAAGAGAGTGAGCAATGGATTCAAATGTCTGAATGAAGCCGTGAAACTCGCACCAGGAATGTGGACAGCAATGCTTCTTCGGATGTCAAGAAAACCTGAGGTTCACAGTTATGCTTTAGATATAGTTTCTGCACTGTTTACACATTTAGGCCAGAAAATGCCTAACAATTGTTGGATCCTTCTCTCCAAACTGCTCCATCGCAACAAGAACCAATAACAATAAGTTATCTTATACTAGGTCTTTTGATCTTACCTTCTACTCTGCTATATACATCTTTTACAAAATATGCACTAGGTAGAGTGTAACATTCCTCGCTCCACGTGTCAGTTTAAAGACCTGTCATTGTAACTGGGCATTTTGACTTGCATGTCCATAAAGCTTTTCTATAATTAGTAACTGAATCCAGAGGTGTCGCCGGAAAAGGCTGAACACCATTGCTTCTGGAAAACGTCGAACACCACTGCTTTATGTTTCCTTTTTTTAGTTTCTTACGCTATTTCCTTGGACCATTCCTTTTTTCTCCTCTCCAAGCCATCCTCACTTGTATCTCCACGAAGACATTCGCGGTCTCTGTGAGTTAATGTATGTTTAAAATCAAACCAAGATTTTGCTCGATTCAAGACTATCTTTCAAGTGTCGGTGCCTGCTGCATTATCATCATCATCATAGTATTTGAGATTTCTGCAAAACCAAAAATGGGATACAAGGACCTGGTGCTGTCGTATTCGAATAAGATGCGCGTTATTGAAGCCCCAGCAAGCGGAGGCGGTCTCAGGTCACCCCTCTCTCTCTCTCTCTATTTCATCTCAACTTGAGATTCATTCTTGCTACATTCATTTGTCGTTGTTGTGTGGCTGAGGTTACTTGAATGAATAGAACCACAATAGCCTACATGTTTGACTTACGGACCAACAATGTTCCTTTCATTTTAACTTTTCAGCCAGGATGGAAAATTTAGCTATGGATATGCAAGCTCAGCTGGTAAGAGATCATCCATGGAAGACTTTTTCGAGACGAGGATCGACGGTGTCAATGGAGAAATCGTTGGTCTTTTTGGAGTCTTTGATGGTATTCTTCTTCACGCATTAGGTTTGTTCCACTTAGGAACGAGAAAATCTGAATCATGTTCCTTGCAGGCCATGGTGGAGCTGCAGCAGCTGAGTACTTGAAGCGTCATCTTTTCAGCAATCTTATCACTCATCCCAGCTTCATTTCTGACACCAAATCTGCTATAGGTGTTTACTTCCTCTGTAGTCTTCTTTTTGGTTTTCAACTTAATCATTCATTATATGATCTAAAACCTTTGCTTCGTTTTTTTTTTTTTATGTTTCCAGCTGATGCCTATAATCATACAGACTCTGAACTTCTCAAGTCAGAGAACAACCACACTATAGACGCTGGTTCCACTGCCTCTACTGCTATTCTCGTTCGTGATCGTTTACTTGTTGCTAACGTTGGAGACTCCAGAGCTGTTATCTGTAGAGCCGGAACTGGTAATATCTCTTGGTAGCTCTCTTTGTTATATAATGTGAATGTTTTTGAATGTGGATGATTCCTGTGTTCTGTAGCCTTTGCTGTGTCAAGAGACCATAAACCTGACCAAAGCGATGAGCGTGAACGCATTGAGAATGCTGGTGGTTTTGTCATGTGGGCTGGTAATAAAGAAAGAAACTGTTAAATTTATTTCTCAATTTTTTTTAACTGCATATAGTTCTGAATCCTAGATTGAATAGGGACTTGGAGAGTTGGAGGAGTTCTTGCAGTGTCTCGCTCTTTTGGTGATCGACTTCTGAAAGAGTATGTTATTGCCGACCCAGAGATTCAGGTATATATGAATTCACTTTCTTATCTACCCACATATACATCTCTACTTGTGTTCAAAAGGTCTTGTTTTATGCAGGAAGAGAAGATTGATGATTCTCTTGAGTTTCTGATCCTTGCCAGCGATGGACTATGGGATGTTTTCTCCAATGAGGTTTGTCAATTAACTTCTTCCCTCTTATATTGAGCTTGATGATTGATTGAGATCTCTATGGTGTTGCAGGAAGCTGTTGCAGTGGTGAAAGAGGTTGAAGAACCAGAGGAGTCAACCAAGAAACTTGTGGGTGAAGCAATAAAGAGAGGAAGTTCTGACAATATTACATGTGTAGTTGTTCGTTTTCTGGAGAGCAAGACTGGTAATACCAAAGCTTCTAACATGTCCTCAACAGATGCCAGCTCATCCCAGGAAGCAACCAAAGGTGAAACCGCAGTTAATAGTGACACAGAACACAAGATCTCAGCCAATGAAACCAATCAAGACCAAACCGCAGATAAAAATGACTCAGATCACAAGATCTCAGCCGATGAAACCAATCAAGACCAGACCGCTGAACACAGAGACCTGAACCGCAATGCTGAAATTGAAAGCCTGAACCAAAAGCCAGTTGCGGTTACAGCAGCAGGAAGCAGCGTTTCTTCTGAACAGAATTGCTCAGCCGGTGAAAAGAATCAAGTTCCAAGCGCAATTGACAGCGGCTCAGAGCCTAAGAGCACCTCCAAGAAACCTGCTCAAGGGCACATCACAGTGCACAACAATATGGACAGGAGTGTTGCTGATCAGACACCGGTTTCAGGTGGCCGAAAGGAGACTGCAGCCACCCACACCACTTCCTCAGAACATAACGGATCCCTAGGTGAAAAGAATCAAAAGCCAACCGCAGTTCACAGCAACTCCACCACATGCAATGCAAGTGGCGATCACTCTTATCACTAAACTAAAATGTCTCGAGATTTTGTATCGACTAACTTCTCTGATCGAAGTAAGTTTCTTTCTTTGCTGTCTTTTTTTTTCCTTTTGGAGGTTCAAATTTAAATAATGTAATTTTTTTCTTCTGCCTTGTGCAAAACTTGTAAATCGTATAAATTTGTTCACAACTCATTGTACCATGGGATGTTACAGTCTACACCTATTAATTGAAATGTAATAATGTTCCATGTTGCATTTGGGTGTTGTTTATGTCTAGATAGATGAAGTCTACATGTAAGAGATTTGTTCTTTTAAAATGCCCTTCAAACCAAAAATAAGAGACCTCAAAATGATCTCTAGTCCTATGTTTTCTAACACCGACTCTATAAATATGATGAGACCTTGAATCAGATGGAAGAAAATATAAATATTGCATAAGCTAAACATGTTCAAAGTCATAATATATATACACAAACAAGTTACATAGAAACACCACTCATTCCCTTCTCCCTCCCAACCATAACAACTAGAAACTCATCAACAAAAACAAGCAATAAAATAAAAAAAAAAGTTCGTTATAAACTTATTACTAAAACGACACCAAACACAATTTTAGAGTCTCTCTTCTCTCTCACACACACAATCTCTAGAATGTAGGTACAAGTCCAAACCCGCTAAAGATACCACCATGACCAACCACGTCATTGCTCTCACTCGTATCCGTCCGCTTCGCAAACCTTCCCTTGATCCTAGGTCTCATCTCCGCGTAAGCTTTCCTCGAAGCATACCTTATCGTCTTCTCGAACTTCCTGTTCTTCCTCTTCTCTCTGTACCTCATCACTCTCGCCTCTCTCTCCGCTGCCGTTAACGGAACTGCCCTCTGAGTCACCTGATCAGTTCCACTGGTTGCAACACTAACGTAAGGGTACGAAACGTCTGCCACTGAGCCTCCATCTGGCACCACTCCCACTTCCAACGACGATGATGATACCTGCTGTAACCAATGATTAGAAACAACTCTGGCCAAAAAAACGTTACTATAATCAGACAACTCTCTGAATAGCAGTGTTCTAAAAATCGGTTTAGGCATGTTCAAATAATCGCCATCTAAACAATAATCAATTATAAAAACGTGTAATTACAGAGATTTCTTAGACATTGCTGAAGAGTACATACTTAATACTCCATATGTTTCATTTTACTTATTGTTTTAGTTTTATGCATACATATTATTAAAACATTTAATTTTGCACATTTACAAAATAAAAATATATTTATCTATGAAACTAATCACATCTCAATCAATCAAAACAGAAATAACATATAAAATTAATAAATCATAAAACAACACTTATTTTAAAATGAAAATTTTACTCTAGAACGATAAATAAATTGAAACTCAGGGAATATATGTTAATTGATAACTAACTAAACATAAACATGTATGTTAATCAGTAATAAATCGAGTGCATTTGTGATATTGTTTGATACTTAAATCATCATATCATGGATTAGGTTACCTATGTTGATTGCATACAAATACATCACTCAAATCACCCAATCATTAGTACCTATTAAACTAATATTTTTGAGTGTCCTAACTGCAAAGATCTAAACTTTTTTTCTTATTAAAATATAAAATAAGACCTAAGTTGAATAAACAAATGATTTCTTAAAACCAGAAATAACGGAAACTACAGATTCGGTTAGTAATAAATAAACTACAATTAAAGTGAGCTTACGCTGTGGCTGATGGAATTGTAACCGTAAGTAAAGCCTTTGGATCCTCCGTTGAAATCCAACTCGAAGCAACTCCCGTTCACCGCCGCCGCGACCTTAACCGTCCGATTCTCCACCGGAACCACCCCGTCGGCACCGGAGCTATTCTGCTCCTGCGACTCCACCTTCGGATCCACACTCCCGTAATCAAGATCCGAGAACACGTACTGCTGCCCCGTGTTCATCTCCGGCTCATCTCCCGGCACCGCCGTCGCCGCCACCGCCGTCGTCTTCGGGTTCGGGAGCAGCCACGAGGCGGCCTCGTCCTCCTCCTCGCGGCTCGCGTTCCCGTCGAGGTCGGAGAAGTAACAGTCGTCGAGGAAGTTCACGGCGGCGTGCTTGACGGAGCCGTCGGAGTCGGAGACGGAGTCGTAGAAAGGCGTCACGGGGACGCGCTCGTGGCGGCGAGCCAAGGGGTTAGCGGAGTGGATGTCTCGGTCGCACGTGACGCAGAGGGCGGCGGCGTCGGCCTTGCACGTGACGTGAGCTGGCGCTTGCTCGCAGACTTCGCACATCCACACGCGCGCGTGGCGAGACGCGAGTTTGTTAGCCGCGTGGATCTTCGAGTCGCAGCTGAGGCAGAGAAACGCTGCGTCTGGACGGCAGTATAACGCCGCGGTCGCTGATTTGCATGAGTCGCAGAGCTTAGACGCCATTTCTCTCTCTCTACTTTCTCTCTCTCTCTCTAGTTGTCACTCTTGTCTTTGTGGTTGGTGATGATATGGCTTCACATGAGCTTGTTCTATCCGTGTGGTCCCCTTGAGTATCCACTTAGAACGAATGATGATACGACACGTGATAAAATCTTAGCCAAACAATACAAGGAAATATATAATTTTACATGGGCATGAAAAGTTCTGACGATGCACGAAATGAGGTTTTGTCTTCTACTCTTCTTTTATCGTAATCATGCGAGTTCTCGTTCATCTACTTGTAATAATAATTCTGGACTTCCGACATATGGCAACAGGTGTTTTTAGTAGGAAATAATACGTAGCGAATTTTGTCAGTGGTTTTAAAAGAGAATTGTAAATTTTCATACAAAAATGGTCGTCTTCCTATAAGATCGATCTAATGGAAAAAAAAAAGTTGATGAATGATTGTGAATAAGCATGGGATTTGATGCTTTCCACTTGGAGTCTATGGACCACCACGAAAAGATAGCCATAAATCATAAATGGAGACGTTACCGTGACAAAGGTGTAGAAAAAGTATAAATTCGGCCGGTGGGTAGGTCGGTAGCTAATGGGCTTTTATGAGTTTTTACTTGGGCCTCTTGGTATTAATAATAGAGTCCTTTCTTTATTACTGGTATAATGTGTGTATTTTTCTGATCACTTACTGGCCCATTATGGCCCCCAACACAAAAAAATAACTTTTCACAAAGTTGCAAGAATCAAAAAGTCACAAAACCATTTAAATTCAACGCTATAATAGAAGCATAGTTATTGTACTCAGCACGTTTAAATCATTATGTGCTTATAGTTCGTCTATTTATACTTTAACCTAACAGTTTTTAGTATCATTTTTTTCATCTTAACTGTAAAGAGGTTATGGAAGCCCCGTAGCCTAATGGTTAAGATTTAAAGGCTTCTACAACACATCTGGGGTGGGTGATACAGTCAGACATAAATCCGCATAAGATAGGTATAATTGTCGGCTGTAATATCGTCTATGTAATATTTCTCATAGTTTGTAATGCATAATTATCAATTCTAAAGAGATTAATACACCAAGAGAGTTTCAATTCCCGGAGAAGGTGAATGGCGAATTATGCAGATTGGAGAAAAAGTGATGCGACCCAGATCAACAGCTATGTCTCTACGAGGAGCTTAAGGTACGAACCAGCTAAGCAACTGATCATAGCTTGGCTTAATGGGCATTTTCTGGGACTTATCGGTTTGATCCATGAAGTTCTAGACCGAGAGAAGCTAATGGGCTTGATGTAGAACGTGGAAGCCTTAAGCTCAATATATCAGTGTTTGGATTTGTCCAAGAAAGACCCACCAAGAAATTATAAGCCCTAGTCGTATAATACCGAGATCGTCAACCATGCGAAAGGACACAACCAGCTGAAGAGTTTTGCGACCACAACCTTCAAAATTCGGTCAAGTCTTGGTCTTTGGTAAAGTCCACCATATTTATGATATTTGTATTTCGTAGAATAAGTTTAGACCTTTGGTCTAACCCACAGCCTATTATACAAAGGCTTGCTTTGTATTATTTAAAATCATTCAACTTTTTAATAAAAACATTTCCTTTTAACTTATTGAATCATTTGTTCTTCACCGAACATCTTCTCTTTTGAGTCGTCGGAGTGTGTCATATCTTCGGGCTCAGAAGTTGGTAGTATCAAGAGACTTTCCGCACCTCTTGTGTCACCATTCGATCCACATCCCTTGATCGTTTGTGCTTTCTAGCTCATTCGGTGCAAGGCTTATCCAATCCACCAACCTTAGAGTGATCCTTCGATTTAGAGCGTATCATGTGGTATCAGAGCCACTCTGAGGTTCGCCATTCTTCACAACCAACCATTCGTAACTCTTCATCTTCTAAGAGATCTTATGTGTCTTTTGGACTACTAAAGAGAAACCATGAAGAGAAGCCAATCATTCTTAACTCTTCATCTTCTAAGAGATCACATGTGTTTGGGCTACTGATCAACCATGAAGAGGAGTCAGCGCGCAAAATACAAGAAGAAAAGTTGCAACAATGGAGGTACAACAAACGCACAGCCGAGATGAAAACACAATATGAGCGTGAGAAAGGGAAGCAAGCTAAGAAGTCACGACCTGAGAGAGACAAATGGAAGAAACCACTCAGAAGAGAATGTACACTAATCTCCCTTGATTCTGGTTCACTGGGATTTAGAATGAGCAGCACAAAGAAGGCAGTCCAAAAGCCACAATCAAAACCGGTTGTAGAGACTCCATCGACTAGAACTGAAGAGAAGAGGAATACGGGTTTTGAGAGTTGGCTGGAGAGTTTCAAGGCTAAGATCCATCAAAGGATCACAAACCCACGTCCATCTTCAGCTTTAGAAGAAGATCAGGAGGCCAAAGATATCGAACCGGAGATATCGACTGTTTATGTCCGAGCAGAATCTAAGGACAATCTCGGTCCAATCTTTGATGAGGAGGAAGAACCAGAGGCTGTAAGTGTTCTCCTGGATTTCCAAAAAGTGGCTGAAGATGTGGTGGATAGAGGACCAGAAGCTGATCATGAAAAATATCTCACATCCACTTATGATTCAGGTGATATTCTCGGTTCTTTATCAAGTGATAAACTGGTTCAGCCATTCGTTTGCAAGGNCGGTCCAATCTTTGATGAGGAGGAAGAACCAGAGGCTGTAAGTGTTCTCCTGGATTTCCAAAAAGTGGCTGAAGATGTGGTGGATAGAGGACCAGAAGCTGATCATGAAAAATATCTCACATCCACTTATGATTCAGGTGATATTCTCGGTTCTTTATCAAGTGATAAACTGGTTCAGCCATTCGTTTGCAAGGAGTACGACCCAAGTGAGCTACTGAGACTTGTAGAGGATCTACAACAATTCATCTTTGAGCATGGAATAGGGGCATGTGTGCACAAGAAAAGTAGAAACACCTTGGCTGAGCAAAACCATGTCGGTTCATTCATCCTAGATGGTTCGGATTTGAGGACAAATCCTTTTAAAGGAGAAGGGGATGATGCGACCCAGATCAGCAGCTATGTCTCTACGAGGAGCTTAAGGTACGAACCAGCTAAGCAACTGATCATAGCTTGGCTTAATGGACATTTTATGGGCCTTATCGGTTTGATCCATGAAGTTCTAGACCGAGAGAAGCTAATGGGCTTGATGTAGAACGTGGAAGCCTTATGCTCAATATATCAGTGTTTGGATTTATCCAAGAAAGACCCACCACGAAAATATAAACCCTAGTCATATAATATATCAATCTGACGGTAATTCCGAGATCTTCAACCATGCGAAAGGACACAACCAGCTGAAGAGTTTTGCGACCACAACCTTCAAAATTCGGTCAAGTCTTGGTCTTTGGTAAAGTCCACCATATTTATGATATTTGTATTTCCTAGAATAAGTTTAGACATTTGGTCTAACCCACAGCCTATTATATAAAGGCTTGCTTTGTATTATTTAAAATCATTCAACTTTTTAATAAAAACATTTTCTTTTAACTTGTTGAATCATTTTTCTTCACCGAACATCTTATCTTTTGAGTCGTCGGAGTGTGTCATATCTTCGGGTTAAGAAGTTGGTAGTATCAAGAGACTTTCCGCACCTCTTATGTCACCATTCGATCCACATCCCTTGATCGTTTGTGCTTTCTAGCTCATTCGGTGCAAGGCTTATCCAATCCACCAACCTTAGAGTGATCCTTTGATGGGCGTATCAAAAAGCTTACAAGAGATCTTCAGCATGGCGCAAGGCGTACTGTCAAAAATGGATCTCATAGAACGGCTCAGGGTGATGCAGTCAGACGTAAATCCGCATAAGATAAGTATAATTGTCGACTGTAATATCGTCTATGTAATATTTCTCATAGTTTGTAATGCATAATTATCAATTCTAAAGAGATTAATAGACACTTACAATCAAGCTAATTTAAACTTGAGATTTAGATTTGAAGGTAAAATTTAGAATTTTTAATAAAAATATAAATAAATTCTTAAAATTAGAAAAAATGGAAATAGTTTCAAAAAGAATTTTTAAATTTTGAAAAGTATATTTGAAAAATATTTAAAAAATAAAATAAAATCAATAAATAAATAAAATAAAATTTTCGAATTTGAAAAGGTATAATTCGAAAACTTTCAAATCAAGGGTATAAACATCTGTTATCTCTTTAACAAAGTTTCATACTTAAGTATTTTTGAAAATATTCATTTAAAAAAGATAAACATAAATAATAATATTAAATGAAAAATAAAAGTGAAATTTCTCTATCTTTTCTTCATTTAGCAATTTTTTCAATACTCAAATAGTATGATTAAAACGACAACTAAAATTACAAATATATACAAAGACAGAATTTTACAAAGCTATATTTTTTTTAGTATGCTTTTAGTATGCAAAATTTAAATATCTATAATCCTTTTAATGAAGTAAGGTATGTGTCATGTGTGCATGAAATTTGAAAATTGAAATTACAGTATTATGCAATATGGTAAATAAATGTCTAAAAAAAAGAAAATCTCTTTTTAGGTTCTTGTTGCAGGTTGTACGCATACCATACCCTCTAACAAAAATCTGAAACCGTCCGAATGACATCATGAAAAATGTGGAACTTCTCTCTCTCTCTCGCTGTTAGAAGTTGAATAAATGATGTGCTGTGTGCATTAAATAGATGATGCAGCATAGTCTCATCGCCGCGTCAGACTATAGAGCTTTAACTCACTCATACAACTGTTCCGACAATAAATGAAACACACTTTGTATTTCTCTCAAAACTAGAGTCTTGACACTTGTCATCGTCTCTTTTTCCGCCATCCGATAAACTCATGCCGACGGCAGAAAACCATGGGAGTCCGAGTCACTCAATAAATAATAGCGTAATGATCGTATCGTACTTGCTCTCGTACTTTCCTATAACAAGTTTACCTGAAAGTACTCAAAACATTTTTAATACTATTAAAACATTTCAAATGAAAGATTTAGATTAACAACTGATGGTAGTTTTGTTGATTCCAGCATCCTTTTTGTTATTACAGGACATATGAATTAAACAGTAATTGTTAGTTCTTTTTCTTTTGGATTACGTGAAATTAGCTTATATTGGAAATACTTTCATACCGACATATATAGGCATGGGCATTCAGTGTACTATTCAGTATCGGTCTAGATGATTCAGATTTTTGAATTCAGTGTTATGCTCAAAAGTTCCATTCAGATTTGACTAATTATCGGATCAGATTCTGTTTTTTTCCGAATTCGGTCCGGATAGATGTAACCAATTTTTAAAATAGTCCAAAAATATACTTTTTAAACCTCAAAAATTGACAAAACTTTTTTTCAAAATATATAAGAATTACGAATCTAATTAAAAATTAATTAAGTTATCTAAATTAACTAAAAATATCAAAATAACAAATAAAGTATACTACAAAATATTTTGAATACTCTAAAATATATAAATCATCTTAACATCCATAAAAAATATTAACATATTTAACTGATTTCATATATCTTCGGATCCATGTTGAGATTTTGGTTCAGTTTGGATTATAACCAAACTCCAAATTTATCCCAAAAAAATAAACAAACTCCAAATTACTAAGTTTATAAGTCCTGTTTGGATATTTTTGTATAAAGATTCGGATCCGATCTCGATTTTTCCGGTTCGTTAGATACTTCGGGTTGGGGGTAAAAACGCCCAGCCCTATATACATACTGATATATACACACGGAGAAACCCGAAAATATGTCAAACTTTTGTTCACATTTACTAATCTAATGAAGATTTACAATACCATGGTCGAGAAAAACAGAGGAAAATAATTCCAGCGACAACAACCAAAACCAAGGACGAGAGAAACGACAAAAAAAAAACACTCTCGAGTACAAAGCTCACTTATTTTCTTCATCAGAAGAAAACGACGACCCTTCTATTTCTGTAGATTCTCCATTTTGCCCTTCTTTATCCTCCCTAATTACGCATTCTGCGCTTGACACGCAAGTCTTGGCTGCGACAGGTGTAGCTAAGAAAGTTGGTTTGTTTTGTCCAGCCATGATCACAAGAATCTTCTCCTCGAAAACCTTTGCGGTTACCTTTTCATCGGTCTCCCTCTGTTTCTCGCCGTCTCCATCGCTGTTTGTCCGCCGTGAGAGTGACCAGTAAGAGCAGGCGAGTAACAAGAGTGCAAATGTTATGAGTCCGAGCATCGCGGCTAAACCACCGAATAGGTAAGGGACCGGTGTACGCAATGGATGCCGTGTCTGAGACTCCACTAGTGCTGACATCTTGTGATCTGTTAGGTTTGGAAAGTCCCTCATTGTTTTTGTTGCTGGAAATTGTAAATGTTAGTTTTTTTTTTTTTTAAATGGGAGGCTAGTTTGATATGCTTGAAGTGGTTTACAGTTTATTTATAGCACTGACAGAGTAATAAAGAGAGAGAGTGATAAAAATTGCACAAAATGTCTTTTTGTTATTTTTATTTTCATTATTATTTATATTTTGTTTAAAAATTAAAGGTAAGTGGGTCACGGAATCTCTATGATACGTTACGTTGCCTTGATCATGCACCAGGTTCGAAGATATTTTAACAATGTGTGTTTTGCATTTAGATGTATATCTTGATTTGTAGTATTATTTTTCTTTCTTTTAGATAAACAACAAAATGTACATCTTACTACCATAACTTGTCTGGATCGAAGATCATGACGTTAGTAAATTATTTCTCTTCATGCTTGTTTTTGGGGAAAATGAATTAATTAAATGGCAATTTTGCGGCAGATTGACTTAAACCATGGATTTACGAAAATGGGTGAGAACTCGAAGCACATCGAACTTGTTCCTGAGCAAATAAACCCTTCTAGCGCTCATCAACAACGATTAAGAAAGTACGTATAATCATAATATTATACGAATAAGAATACAAAAGCAGGGATTTAAGTATATATATACGTGAAGGCAACATCATACATATTGCCTTCACATATATATTTAATTTAAATTTTACCGAAAAGTATATATGTGAATGAGATCAAATGCTTTATTAGATTATTATAAAATATAGAATAGATGTTTTGTTTAGAAAATGACAATTTACAGCAAGATAATTGGCAAGACAAAAACAAACCAGCATATTAATTTGATGATTTTTTGGATTATGGAATATCAACTGTGCCCAGAGTGTATTTTATTCGGGCCCATGAATTTCACGTCAAATCTCTCTTTCGGCCTTCGGGGCAATGGCAGCAGTAAATCACATGGCCATTTGTTATTACGCTAAATCCAAGGGTTTATGTAGCTTTTATGATGCTATTTGGATATGATTTGCAGCTAACAGTAACTAATAAGTATGTGGGTTTTCTTTTGATATTCCACAACAATATTCCATAAATTTTACTTTATCCATTGTTGGAAGGGAATATATTATTGTTTAATCTGGTCAAGTCCCAAAATTGTTAAATTAATTATTAAATAATAATTATATAAACTATATCTACATTTAGTCTACCACGCACAATCTTTAAATGTATGTTGATATATGAATAAAGTCATAATCTATACTGATATTAAACCATAAGATGCATATGGATATATGTGAAATAATAACAGTGTATATATAGTGGGATTGAGATGGTTTAGCAAACTTTAGTTCTATGAAATTAAATTATAAGCAAAACTAGATTACTACAAATGCAACTAAACAAGCAATCAGTTTTAATTTTAAGCGGTGTACATAAATACTCCAAAGCTTTACGTTAAGGCTTTGAGCTGTGCGATAATACATGAATGATAATATTTTGCTGTACCAAACTTAGTCTACTAAAGTTTTAATAGATCGAGAGTAAATTTCAAACTTATTTTTAAGGTGAGTAGCTTTTTACTTTGAGTTTGAGTTATGCCATGAGAAAATTGTGGTGGAGTTGGAGGAGACTTGACATGCAAATTCTGGATTGACAACTTGGGGAACTTTCTCCCCTATGTGATATTTACTATGATCATTTCCAAGAGTAACTTTATTCTTAAAGTTGGGTGAACCACAAATTCGAGGTTGAAACTGGTATTCTCCAATAGTCAAATTTTAAATTTAATTTTTTAAAATATTTTATAACTAATAAAACATATATTAAAAATTATTGTCCTTAAGATTGATTAAAATTAATGAAAATTGCAAAACCTTGATAATTAATAAAACATATATTTAAAAGTTTTATAAACAGTATTAACATTGTATTATAATAAATGAGAATTATAAAAACACAAATTAAATCATAAATTATAAGTGAAATATCAGATCACTCTATATAAGTATTTTGTAATGTTCTAATACAAGATCAATTAATGAATTTAAATAGAATATATAAACTTATTAATTAATTGTGCGTAGGTTACTAGCTTAAATTTATTAAATCTATCATTTTGATATGTAAACTATTTATGAAATATCAAATTACAAAAATTAAGTTATAAATATAAAGTTAACATAATTATTGGAAAGATATATATAGTAAGGAATAAAAAGTATAAAACCTCAAATATAATGTTCTGAACATGAAACATTGAAACCTCAAATATAAAATCTCACTGTTTAAAAATTTTAAGTTTGAAAGTTTGAAATTGTTTTTAAAATAGTTAAAACCTTATATTTGAGATTTTAAAATTGTTTTAGAGATGTTTTTAATGTAAACTTGCATTTTCAAAACCTTGGATCCATTTAAACATACGTATAGATGTCAATATGTACACTGGCTTACACTAATACATATATATTGTATAACATAGGAAAATCAATCAGCAATACATACTATTATTGATCCTCGAAATATACATATTAAACTTTCTACAAAAATCTGGAAGTATTTATGTCAATTATATTAGATATTTATATTCTAACCTCAGATTGATCACCATTTAACTATTACTATTTTATGACCTTTTGCTTGTTTGGCATCAGCAACATACATCATGGGAGTTTTATCTTGAATTACAATGCATGAACAACAAAACACAATCACTAGGTTAAAACTTTTAAGATATTAGTTGTTTTTAACTACGAATTTGAGTTTTTTTTGTATCCTAATGTATTTTGACTTTGTTATATGTCATGTTGATTAACGTTTTAGTTAATGTTAGCGACAATGACTAGTAACAGCTAACTGAATCATTCAATAACATTTAAATCTAATTAGTAATCATTGTTCCGAGCTTTCAGCCTCACATTGTAACCAATTCATCTTTTTCACTATATTTACCATTTTTAATCAGATTCTCAGCCATCAAAACATTCATACACAGAATGTGGTTAAACACTAAGTATAGTTATTCAACTAAAACTCTTATAGGCAAAGTTTATATATCATAAAATTAAAAATTATTGAGATAAAATTAATATTGAGTTTCGAGCCTTAAGAAATTATAAGCTTAAGCCTAAATCCTCCTGATAATAAAAACGACACCATAGAGAATTCTCTCACATTTCTTAAAAATTTAAAAAACTAAAAATAAGTTTAAAAGAAAACATGGAATCTTCTGAATTGGAAATCATGTGCAAATAATCCATTTAGATCGTATGAATAAAAGGAACACTCTTGTCTATAAATATTCTATTTTCCACCAACGCAAAAGCATCTAAAATTACTCTCACCTTTAACTGATTAGTAAACAAGCACAAGCTGTTGGTTAAGCCAAAGGGTCATCTCTTGTTGATCACGACTCCATCACGTGAAGCATAAACACATATATANTGTGCAAATAATCCATTTAGATCGTATGAATAAAAGGAACACTCTTGTCTATAAATATTCTATTTTCCACCAACGCAAAAGCATCTAAAATTACTCTCACCTTTAACTGATTAGTAAACAAGCACAAGCTGTTGGTTAAGCCAAAGGGTCATCTCTTGTTGATCACGACTCCATCACGTGAAGCATAAACACATATATATACGTGTGATGATATATATTGAAAATATTATTCACGTAGATACATATACTGGTTTTGATAGTTGTAACATGTGAACCCGAAAGGGATTGATGTACGCAACCCCTTAGATAGATAGACAGGAGTTATTGATTTATGCTTGCCGGAGAGATTCGCTTCCACCTATGTGGGAGAGGCTTGTATATTTACTGTGTAGCCAGACAATATATTCGTTTATGCATATAACACAAAGTCGGGGAAATTATTCGAAATCTGGTTGTGAATCAAACCTAGATACGAATATATTTCTGTCTGTATTGATCTATCGATCTGTTTATATGACTTTGTGAGACATCCAAGAATCATATCTTGCTTGTCTTTTTTATTTTATTTATATATTTATTGTGTTTTTGATTCTTTTTTGTTGATATTAAGTGAACATGTTGTAGTAGTCTATACACACCTCTTTAGGCACCTGTTTCACTGTTTGCGCACATATCTTTATACATTCATGAAAATAATACTATATATATATATATAAGTAAGGGTATAAAAGTTGATGCTCAATCAATAAAAAAGAAAAATCTTTGATTAGTGTTACTCATTTTTGAGAAAACTACATCAGTTTGGAAGTATTGTTCCAAACACTCTTTTCTTACTGCAAAGCTACCGGTTTGGAAATAAATGAATCCATACCATTTGCGCAACATTTTTTCTGAACTCTCTGACAATGTATTTGCAGTCATATGCATAGTCAAAGCAATCACTTTCTGTCAGTTTCCAAGCTGTATATGCCTAATGATGAAGTAACTAACCGTAACAAAAGGATTTATATCAATCATTTCAATGTTATAATGGTTTAAGCCATGATTGAAAGAAAGCTCCGAAAGTAATGAAGAGTGCCTAAAAGAGTAAACACGTACGATTGTAAACGTTGACGTAACAAACTCTTCCTGTGATTCTTGTCCCGAGTCACTTCATCTGGAACAGAGTTTCGAGTGCGAGAGACATCATCAGTGATTCGCCTTGGAAACCCTAACTCGACGAATGGATCAACAAAAACGTTTGGTACGAGAAACCGGCTCACCCTTGTTCGGTTTACTTCATTTCCAACTATAATTGGGCTTGTCATGTATTGGGTTCTTTTTATCTTTTAATAACAATTGGGCTTACTCATAAACTGGGCTTAGCAGACGTAGTTTTCATTTAACCAAAGTGTTTTTTTCTCTCTAAATTTATGAACGAGTTATTTCATAGTAGGAATTTTGAATGCCAACGATTCTTTGTAAATGTCAAAGCTTACAGTAAATTGTTACATAAAGACATGGCCAATTTTTCTTGTTTCTTAGCTCTGTTTATTGTTAATAGGGTTCAACAATTTTTGTTTCTCTTTAAGTGTTCAACTGTATCAAATAGCAGTGATGTAAAATAACTATTTTTTAATTCATGTGTACAACTCT